AGGTTCTGACTTTCAATGTTTATGCAATTATGGTTTTTAAAATTTAAATTATATAAATATATCTACTGCTTTACAACAATTTTTTAAAATTATTTTTATTTTACATGTATGACTGTATTGCTTGCATGTGTGTATGTGCACCCGTGTCATGCAGTGCCTGTGGAGGTCCAAAAAAGGAGTTGGATCCCCTTGGAATCCCCTTGGAACTGGAGTCATCAGCAGTTTTGTTAGCTGCCATGTGGGTGCTGGGAACTGAACCCAGGTCCTCTGCATGAGCAGCCAGTGCTATTAACTGCTGAGCTATCTCTCTAGCCACTATAACAAATTCTAAGAACTAGTCTTGGCTGTCAATTGGACACATTTTCAAAATATGTATTTCTATCCCCTACCCTCTGTGACTCATTTTACTTTCTGATTTCTACCTTCTGACTTACTGAAATTTATTTCCTTCATTCAGTTGCTCATTCACTCAAACTATTCTTTATCAAACACTATCTTTTGTGGATTTTTTTTGTCATTTTGCTGATTTTTTTCTCTTCTTCCAACTACCTTATTTCAACTGGAATTTTCTTAGAGAATTGTCTTCAGTCCTTTAGTCCAGTTTTTCTACAGTGGCTTCAATGATCAGTTCTGTTTTTTTTTTTTTTCTGATACAGGGGGATCTTGCTATGTAGCCCAGGCTAGTTTCCTCCTTTCTTCACTTGCCCAGTGCTGGGGATTACAGGTGTGTGCTTTGTCACTTGGGCAGTGATCAGTTCTTTTCTATTCTTGTGTCTTTAAACATGGACTTTGGCATTACTTTGAGCATATGTGCAAATTTTATTGAACATTCCTACAAATTCACCAATTTCAATATGCTCCCAGTTCATACTCTGCTTATTTACAAAAGCTCAAACTAAACTCTAGCTGCACTCCCAGAACATGCCTGAAACTCTCACATCTGAATTTGGCAAGGAGAGCGGGGTGAGTAGTTTCCCCACAGCCTCCACCCCTCTTCAGTGCTCACACAGAAATCCCTTTCTTCTACAGATGATGTTCTGTGTATTGAAAACTTGAGGCTCCAGACTTAAGTGAATGGTTCACGTGTTTGGCTAGGGTGAATGTAAATCATGTCCCGGTTTTGGTTTGATTGTCAGGCAGGTAGGGACTTACTTTTCAGAAGGAAAACTTTTATATTGAAGGAATGAAATGTGGTTAAGTAAGATAAATAGGCACATGTGTGTATGTACAATATACACATGCATATATGTGTATATTCACACTGTAATATATATGACTAGAGTCTGTAAAAGTATATTTTATAGAATTTATGATGGCACACACGTGAAAAGATTTAGATTCTTGGTAAAATGAATTGTATTTCTTCCCCGAGTGCACTGAATTAATACTAGGAGAAAGTGGCAGGAGAAGAGAAGGGCTTATGACTGCAGGAAGTAGATAAACTAGGAATACGTTTGGAATTTTTTCAAGTGGAGAATAATAACAGCTGAGACTTAACTGCACAAAATCACTCCTGTAACCCTAGATAAGTGGCTGCCTCCTCACACTAGTGATATGGTAATATTTTAAAAGCAGCATAAGTTGTTTATGATAATTAAAAGTAGAACTGTTTTTAGTGAGATTTAATTTGTGTCAGATATGTTTCTAAGAGATTCATTTTATTCAAGAATACATTAAAAAACAAGTGAAAGGACTAGTCTCTAATTTCACAGATTTCATTCAAATACTTCAAATAAACAGTTTACATTAAGGAAAGTACATTTATTTCCAGTGCTGAATGAGGAGGGGAAGTAAAGTGAAAAGGAAAAATATAGAGGGGGGAGAGAGGGATGGAAGGAAGTGGAGGGGAAAGTGGAAGAAAAAGAGTAGGAGAGGTTAAAGGCACAGTGGAGGACAGGGCAAGACTGAACAGAGGAGAGTCAGTGTCTGGGATGGTTTGCTCTTTGTTTCTGTGAGAAAATAATAGAAACAACTTAAGAGAGATTTATTTGCTCATATTTTCCAACGTTTCAGTCTGTGGTCATCTACCTCCATTGTTCATAGTCCTATGGAGGAAATGCTGGAAAAGCTGCTCACCTGCTGGCAGCTAGGAAACAGATAGAGGAGGTCTAGGATGAGGCATACTCTTCAGAGGCTCATCTACACTGACTCATCTGCCTCCATTCAGGCCTGGTCTTCCACAGTTTTCACTACCTTCAGATTTCATTCAAGTAAGAGTCCACCAAAGGGCTAATCCATTGATTAGGTTAGCAACCTCGTGAGTCAGTCACTTCCAAATAACCCATCTCTGAACACTGCACTGTGGACCAAGTCTGCAGCACACATCAGCCTTTGGGGAAGATGCTTAACATCTAAACCAAAACTGGTGTAGGATGGAGAGGGGAATGTAGATGGCTTTGTGTGAGAACAGTGAGTACATCAGGAGAAAGAGAACTAAGTGTCATATCTTAAATTTTCATCTTTTTCTATGCTAGATGAGGAGGCTCCTTTTGCATCTGAGATAAGCAAATCTTGGTGGTAGTTGTGTTTGAGAATTTATTGCTGAACCTCAGCATTCTCACCTAGTTAGGGTACAGTAGGCTCCTGAAGTCAGCACTGACAAGGGTGCTTCCCTGAGGCTTGAAACATGATTAGTATGTGCTAATTTGCTTCATATCCTGACCACTAATAACTGAAGCAGTCTGTTCTTGAGCCATTGTTTTCATCATAGCTGGGTTATGCTAACTCTGCATCTCAGAGTATATAGAAAGAAATAATTGACATCTGCTAGTGTTGGTATAGTTTGCAGCTGTTTTTAAGATTATAATGATAAACTGGATGCTTGAGAATTACTAGTTATAGAATGAAACCTGTTAACATTTTTTTGACTTCCTGAATAAAAAGCTCTTAATCGGTGTACTTGTATTTTATTATACATATATAACATGAAATTATTGCAAAGGGTTATCTATTCAATATAATGAATAGTAATGCTATATTCTGCATATTATATTTCAATACTACTTGCTAGCAGTACTCTGTTAGGGTTTCACTGGAAGTCTTTTTTTTAATTTTATTTTATGTGTATGAGTGTATTGCCTACATGTATGTAAGTGCACCCTTGTCATGCAGTGGCTGTGGAGAACAGAAGAGGGAGTGAGAACTGAGGTTACGGACAGTTTCCAGTTGCCATGTTGATGCTGGGAATTAAACCCAGGTCCTCTGCAAGAGCAGTCTTTACTCTTAACCACTGAGCCATCTCTCCAGTCCCAATACTTGTATGATTTTTATAGTTGCTTGTTTTGTATGTCTATATTTACTATTAAAGTGTCCTGAGATAATCCTAAAACACAAACTACAATCTCTCTTGCTACTATATAATACTTACATAATGCTCATTATACCCTATGTGTTTGCGTTGATTTTACATTTAAGTCACTTATTTTCAGAACAATCCCCTCAAGTAGTTATTCTCATCCCCACTCCTCTCTCTTTACAAAAAAAGTAAAAACAATAACCCATGCATTATTGAGATTGCCCATTGCCCATTATCCTGGAAAAATATGTATACCACTGTATTAATTACTTTTCTCATTGCTTTGACAAGATACCCAAAAAAAGGCAGTGTTTACAGTTTGAGGATAGAACCGGTTGATGGCAGAGAGGCCAGTAGCAGAAGCCTGGTCCTGTTCCTGCAGCAGCTGCTTACGAAGAAGCAGCTGCCAGGAAACTGCGAGTGATGAGTGACGAATGCTGGTGCTAACTCCCTTTCTCCTTTTTATGCGGTGTGGGACCCAGGCCATAGAATGGCTCTGCCCACATTTAAGGTAGGTCTTCCCACTCAGCCCAATCTAGAAGGTTCCTCCTAGGTTTGTCTCTCTAGTTCTAGACCCTTCCCAGTTGATAATATTAATCATCACAATACTTTCCTGTTTCTTGGTTTCCTCCCTTCCTTTGATGAAACCATTTTCTCAGGATGTGAAGGAGAAATGCTACAGATGTGCTTTGTTTGGAGGCTTCCATAATGAAAAATTAAGAGTTAAAAACCAAGAATGATTTAGTAACTGAGTGGACCAGAAGCAAAGACTTAAGCATTCAGTGGGAAAACTCAGAAGTACCTTTTTGGGTTTATTACAGTCTATAAATAG